TAAAAATAAGTGGTGTGTTGTTGTTTTTAAATTTTTCAGTTTTTCCACATTCATGGGAATCCTTCACCCCTAACCCCAGTGGATGTGGAAGGAGCACTGTATTGAAGTTTGGATTGTCCATGCCATCATATTTCCCTTTTCTATGTATGGTTCTGAAAGCTGGACAATGAATAAACCTGATGGAAAGAAAAACAATTCATTTGAAATGTGGTGCTGGAGAAATGTTCTAAGGATACCTATGGACTGCTAAAAAGACCAATCAATGGTTCCTAGAGCAAATCAAGCCTGAACTCTCCCTGGAAGCCCAGAGGACTAAACTGAAACTCATATTTTAGACATATCATACTTTGGCCATATCAGGAGAAGACAGGATCCACTAGAAAAGACCATAATGTTTGGAAAGGTTGAAGGAAAAGAGGAAGACTGTATTGCAGATTGATAAGATTCAATCAAGGAAGCCATGGCCCTGAGTCTGCAAGACCTGAGCAGGGTTGTTGATAACAGAGTAACTTGGAGGTGTTGCAATAAGTGAAACTTGACTTAACAGCAGTTAACAGTATTCAAGACCCTCAACACATATGTTTTGAATATGAAATGAACTTTTATGTTCTGACATGCAACACTACCTAAGTTTATTTCACATATATCCTTACATTGCTATTTATTTTAATTTATGCTGTGATTAGAAATCTCCAAGGAGGCCATCAGGACAGCTGTCCTGAGAGAAAATAACTTCCCATTCATTGTGGATGAGTCAGCCTTGAGTATGAACACTCCTAACATGCACAAAGTCCCCTCCATGTGGTTAGTGCCCTTTACTCCCAAGTAAGTGTGCGCAGGACAGGTTGCATGCAGCCTTAGCAGCCTTTCTCACTATACATTATAGCACTAGGTTTCCATTTTAAGTGCCATAATTCCATCCTAGAGAATAGTAGAATTTAGGGAGAGATAGCTAGAATTCTCAGCCAGAGAGTTCTAGGTCTTCCCCAAACTACAAATCCTGAGATTGCAGAGGATGTAGTCATGGCAGTTAAACTGGAATTATAATGTTGTAATTGTGTGGTGATTCCTGGGAGGCTTAAATTTTTGAGTGTTGTTATATGCCTTCAAGTAGTTTCTGACTTTATGGTGACCCTAGCCTAAGGCAATCCTATCCTGGGGTTTTCATGGCAAGATTTGTTCAAAGGAGGTTTGCCATTGCCTTCACCTGAGGCT